GGCCACGCCCCCACCACGCCTCCTCGGGGGCTGGGCGCGGAGGGCGGGCCGGTGATCCCGGAGGGCGTGGGAGCCTGCGGGCCGGGGTGCCCTGAGCGCGCCGGGCTCCGCTCCGAGGCCGGCGCAGGCCTCTCGGGCTAGGTGCCCACTCGCCTACTGGGACTGCGCTGGGGCTCAAGCGGTGTTCTCTCTCTCGGACCAGGGGTCTGAGCCAGAGGCCCAGCTGCGCACACTGCTTCCGGGCCTTCCCGACTCCCGGATGCCGCCTCTGACCCCACGCTCAGGAGCCGTCTGGAGGCAGCTGCGTGGCAGAGAACAGTGGCTGAGGCTGGCGCGCAGACCAAGGGGGGCTGGCTGCACGCACGCACCACGCGCTTGCCCCAGGTGGGCGTCCTGACACTAGACTGCAGGAGAGAGCAGTCTGGAGCTGCAGCGCTCTACCAGGCCTCGGCGTGGGGTGCTGAGCTGGGACCCCGTGCGAACAAGCCCACCCTAGGACTGTGACAAAGACACAGTGGGAGCGGGGCAGTGTCTGAGCTGGCCTGAGGTTCTGGGACATCACAGTCTGGGGACAGTCCAGCTGCTGAGGGTCAGGCCCCTAAGAGGACACAGCCAGGCTTCTTCCAGGCCAGCGAATGGCCGGTACTGCCCTGGACCCCCCAGGGTGGTCTGGGTCCCCTTGGCCACAGGAGTAGCGGCTCCTGTGTCCACCTGTCCAAGGCAGGGGTATCCTGCTACACTCCACGCAACATCAGGGACTCTGGGAGACCTCGATCGCTGCTTCTGCCCCGCTGACTGTGGCTTCAGGGGCTCCATTCACTGGTCACCTGCTCTACTCCCCAGCTCTGCTGGTAGCCAGGGCAGCCAGAGGCAGCAAGTCTTTGGGCTGACCTCAGGGAACCCTCGTGCCCACCCCCTGCCCACCTGACAACCTAGCACAGGGGCCTCTTGCCACCCTCTTGCCAGTTCTGGCCGTGTGACTAGCAGAGAGCCCTGGCTCACTGGAGGCCAAGTAGACTGTCTAGTCCCCTCTAGCACCCAGTCCTAAGTGGCTGTCACCAAGGTCCTGTCCTGGGATGCCATACCAGGGGTCAACAGCATGATGTTTTGTCCTAATCCATTAACTGGCTCCCTGTGAACCATTAACTCAAGGAGCGCTGACTCTCCCTCATGTCCTTTTGCAAGAGGTAGGTAGTCTTCCTCCAGCAGCACAGAGTTCCGCTATGTCCCAGGACCAGCTCCTGGGCAGAAGTGCCCAGTGGGACCTGTGGCTTGGTGGCTGTTCTCTTTGTGCCCTGTGCCTTGTCCCATGTGTCCCCCAAGCCTGGCCCTTGAGATCTCCAGCTCCTGGGCTGCTTGTGGAGGCAGCATCTCAGGAAGAGAGGGGCTGGGACAAGACACTGTTCCTCTGTGCCCCTCCCCTGAGCCTGGAGCCCTCAGTGTTGGTCCCACCCTGTGTCCCTTTCCGTTGCCTATCCTCACAGGCTGTCACAGCCCAGGGGCCTAAACATACCATCCTGCCTCTGGACACCGGAAGTCTGAAGTCCCACGTGGAGGAGCCTCCTCCTGCTTTGGGGCCTCCAAGTGCTTTGGGCTACCTCACTGCAGTCCCTGCTGTCTTCACATGGCTTTGGCTCTGTATCTCCTCTTCTGTCTCATAAGGACCTTGGGCTTGGATTCGAGGCCACCAGGATAACCCAGACTGATCTCATCCAAACTCCTCACATAAAAATTTCACTTACAGAAACCGTTTCTGCAAATAAGGTCATATTTGTAGGTCCCTGTGCAGGAATAAAGACATCTTTCTGGAGGCCACCGTTCTGCCCGCCACCCACCTCCTAATGGCTGTGGCTGCTAG